GTAAGAAAATGCCTGCACAGGACTGGCTGTGAATAATTTATACAGGAAGGCTCAGCTCACTGTGGGAGGTGGCACCCCTGGGATGGTGGTCCTGAGTGCTATAAGAAAACAGGCTGCTCAGCGGTTGGTCCACAGTTCATGCATTTCCACTAGGTTGCCTGGTCATCTCTGTACATTTTCCCATCATAATCTCAATGTCCCTTGCTCATGGAATCCCTCCTCTCTCTCATCAGCTGGACTCCTGGAGCTTGGCCTGGCACCTGGCCATGGATCTCTGCATCTGCTTCCATCAGTCACTGGATGAGGGCTCTATGATGACAGTTAGGATATTCAGCCATCTGATCACCAGACTATGCCCTCTGCATAGGTAAAACAGTTGTTTAGCTTGAACTGTTTAGGGGGCCCCCAGGCAATGGGATTGGAACCCATCCCTGGTGCATGAGCCAGTTTTTTGGAACCTAGTGCCTGTGGTGGGACACTTTACACAGCCTTGGTGCAGGGAGGGGGGACGTGGTCCTGCCTCAACTGAATGTACCAGGCTCTGCTGACTCCCTATGCCTTGGAGGAGGTGGGAATGGGAGGTGGGCTGGGGAGGAAGGCTGGGGGGCAGAAGGAGGGAGGAGAGGGGAATCTGTGGTTGGTATATAAAATGAAGAGAAAATCTCTTAATAATAAAAAAGGGGGGAAGAACCCTTGTGGATATCGCTCTGTATGCTGTGAATGTGTTGCTCTGATTGGTTAATAAATAAAACACTGATAGGTCAATGGCCAGACAGGAAATTTAGGCAGGACAAGCAGAGAAGAGAATTCTGGAAAGTGGAAGGATGAGTCAGGAGACGCTGCCAGCTGCTGCTGCCATGAGAAGAAAGATATAAAGATATCTGTAAGCCACGAGCCATGTGGCAAGGTATAGATTAATAGAAATGGGTTAATTTAAGATATAAGAACTAGATAGCAAGAAGCCTGCCACGGCCATACAGTTTGTAAGTAATATAAGTCTCTGTGTGTTTGCTTGGATCCAAGCAGTTGGCCACAGGGGCATGGGAGCTGAGCAGAACCAGGAAAACTTCACCTAAAACCCTTCCCTTTCAGTTTGCTTTTTGTTGCTCTAATAAAAATACTATGACCAAAAATAAATAAATAAATACAATAGTGCATGCTGCAATTAGAAAGAAAGAGAGAGAGAGTGGGAGGGAGGGAGGGAGGGAGGGAGGGAGGGAGCAGGCTGAACAAGCCACTGGAGCAAGCCAGTAAGCAGCCTTTTTCTATGGCCTCTGCATCAGCTCCTCCCTCCAGCTTCCTGCCCTGACTTCCCTCAGTGATGGACTGTGCTGCGGAACTGTAAGCTGAAGTAGACCCTTTCTTCCCCAGGTTGCTCTTGGTCATGGTGTTTTATCACAGGTTAGAAACCTAAGACAGGGAGAAAGAATATGGATCCTATAAAGGATGATTAAACAGAAAATTAAACAACTCAGAACCATCTTCTAGAGGATGAATGTGAAAAATTGCAGTGGTGACAATTGGGGAGTGGAGAGAAGTTAAGTATACAATAAATAAGACCACACAGATTTTAGTTTTAAATATCTAATTATTTTTCATGTGTATGAGTATTTTGCCTGAGTGGCTAGTGCACTTGCAGGTCAGAAGAGGGTGTCAGATTCCCTGAAACTGGAGTTAGGGATGGTTGTGAGCCACCATGTGGGAGCTGGAAATCAAACCCAGTTCCTCTGTAAGAGCAGTATGTACTCATAACCACTGAGCCATCTCTCCAGTGAAAACCTACTCTGATTGATCTTGTCTCTAATTAATTCAAAGCTGTAGGGAATGTCCACTGAACAGTTTAAAAAGTACACTACCACAGATAGTAATTACTAACAACATACAGTTATTTATGCTTAAACTAAAACTTTTATTTCTAGGTCACACTTAACTACATTTTAAGCAGTAAATGGCTACATGTGGGAAGTCACTATTACACAGGACATACAGACTACAGAAGACTTCTGTCACCCTTGAAGTTTCTATTGGACAGTATTAGTTTAAAGCATTCAGTTCCCAAAATGGCTATAGTCACATATCATTTCTCACTGCTTGTTACCTGGCATCATTCATGAACCTTTTAAATTCCAGAAATAGCAGGTGTTGGATTATTGCTAATTCCAATTATCTTTGCTTATAACTCACATAGTCACCAGGGAGACCCAAAAGCCCCTTCACGTAGGTTAGTAGGTTCTATGCTCAGTGATATTAAGGCAGAGGAATGTTCAAAGCAGCCAGTCTTCCCTGCACAAAGTTATTGATATGAGGACATAGTTATTATCTTCAACAAGTGAAATAAATCTTTGAAGTCCTTGTTAAAGACAATATTTACTTTACAAAGGTAATTCCTACTCAAAAGCACACACTCCACCAGCAGAAAGCTTCCCTGAATAACTCAGAATAAGTGACATCACTCAAATTGTGAACAATCAAGTAAGAGCCTCCTCCCAGTGGACCAAACAGCAACCTCTCCTGTAGGAATTGGGACTGGTGGATGCTGGTCTTCTGAAGAGCATAGAAGCAATGAAGCAGCTGAGTAAGGATTCTCCTTCCTGGGCAAAAGTACATTCGACAGCCACTGTGGAACGCTAGCAGAGTAGAAGGTGAACAGCGCCAGACTGAATTAGTTTTCAGGTAGTCACGCCTATTCCCAACCAGTCACCACATTGAAAATGCACACCACAGCCTAGGATCACCAGCTCACTGGGACCCAGAAAAGTGTTGTTGAGCCATAATTACATTTGTGAAAATGTTTATAACACTGAATTTATAGTAAATAGTAAACAAATATTTCATAATAACAGTTAAATATTATAAGTCAAGTCTGTGGTGTTTTATGTATTTGTTAAATATTATACCTACAGAAACATCTTAACAATGAGAGAAATATATTGTTAAGTAAAAAATTTTTCATCATATGTATAAGGTATGACAGAACTATGAGAATATTAATATTAAATTAAAAACACTACAACAAGATATTAATAAAAGCAATTTTTGTTAAGTAATGAAATTATGGTGGTGGCTTGTCTAATTTTCTCTTTCTAGTTATTCATTATTCTAGTTAGCTTTCTATTGCTGTGATAAACACCGTAACTGAAAAAACATGAGGAGAAAGGGGTTTATTTCCAGCTTACAATTCCAAGGTCACAGACTATCATCGAGGGAGGCCAGGACAGGAACTCAAGGCAGGAGCCTAATGAAGAAACTAAAGCAGAGGCTATGGGGGAACACTATTTATAGGCTTGTTCGCTATGGTTTTTTGTGTGTGTGTGTGTGTGTGTGTGTGTGTGTGTGTATGTGTGTGTGTGTGTGTATGTGTGTGTGTATTCCTAAATAGACAAACACAACAGGTGTGTGTGTCTGTGTGTGTCATGTGTGTGTCATGTGTGTTTATTCCTAAATATACAAACACAACCTGTGTGTGTTTATTTCTAAATATACAAACACAACCTGTGTGTGTTTATTTCTAAATAGACAAACACAACCTGTTTAGTCTGTATGATATTACATACATATGTTTGCAAGAGTGACCATTTGTTACTGGATAACCAGTTCATGTTCTCCTCTCTGCTACCTTTTTCAGATAGCCCAGGAACTTCTGCCCAAGTTTGGCAGCATGGCACTACCCACAATGGACCATACCCTCTCACATCAACTGGTAATCAAGAAATACCCCACAGACTTGTCCACAGGCCAGTTGATGGAGGCAATTCTTCAATTGAGGTTCTCTCTTTCTAGGTATCACTAGTTTATGTCAAGTTGATAAACTTTAACCAGAACATTTATATAGCATTAAAAACAATAATTAGAAAAAATTAAGCTAAAATAATGCTGCTGCAGAAATCTACCATGTCTCTGCTTTTACTGAACTGTGCATTTAGACCTTGAGCACATGAAGTTCATCCCTTCATTATCAATCTATTTGTATGTTCTTGGTTTGCAATTGGTAGGATTGGGCTCCTAGTTTTAGCATTCTGGGATCTGAGCTCTACCCAGTCTGCTCACTTTTATTGTCCTCCAGTCATGCCTAATTTAGAAAAGGATCAGGAACTTATCAAGAAGAGAACAACAAATGCCAGACTTACCAATCTTATACGTGCTACCATTTGATAGCATTTGTACTTCCAGTAATACACAAGAGAGCAAAACCACCTGCTCACAGCAGCACTTGCCTAGAGGACCACCCAAAAAGGAACAACTGCTTCAACTCTGGGTACCCACTCCAAGGAACATCATGTGGTGGTTAGAAAAATGAGGATTTTCAGGAGACAGCAGAGCAGATACCTTGGAAGTACACATTTTGGGGACTCTAGCTCTGACAAGTTAGAAGAAGCATTGGAAATGGAGGCACATATTAAGGAGCACATATGAGGCATTTAGCCAACTCCAAAATGTGGGCCATCATATGAAGAGGTCAATGAGAAAAGGGAGGCAGGAGAGGGCAATCTCTTACAGGAAAAATATGAAATAAAGACACACAGCAGCCAAGTGTAATGAGTTATATTTGAAGCATGATTTGAACAAACAGAATGAAACAAATGGTATTTTTTA